AGGGTTTTTCAAAATGCTGACACGCCGAGCTCAAAAGGTTCGCCATCACTGAGCTAGGAAATGGCTGGGTCAAGATTTGAACCCAGTCCCTCTAAACCAGCGGTTCTCAACCTGTAGGTCGCCAACCTGTGGGTCATGACCCTTTTGGGGGTTGAACAACCCTTTCACAGGGGTCGCCTAAGACCATCAGAAATCACATATATAATTACATATTGTTTTTGTGATTAGTCACTATGCTTTCATTATGTTAAATTTGTAACAGTGAAAATACATCCTGCATATCAGATATTTACATTACGATTCATAACAGTAGCAAAATTACAGTTATGAAGTAGCAACGAAAATAATTTTATGGTTGGGTGTCACCACAACATGAGGAACTGTATTAAAGCGTCGTGGCATTAGGAAGGTTGAGAACCACTGGTCTAAACCATGACAACATCCTTCACCTAACAACACCAGTGCAGGGCCACACTGACCTGTGTGCACCTGCTGTGCTGGCTCAGAGCCTGAGGCAGCAGAAGCTCCTCCCCCTTCCCACCCCCCATTCCCTACCCCAGGGAGCGGAGGTGGGCCAGGACCTGAGTGCTTATGTAGCTTCATGCCCTTATCTCTGAGCTTCCTGTCAATCATTCTAGGTGCCAGAGGCATCATCTCTAAGGCCTCACACCTCTGAGCATGATGTCCCAAAGCAGTTTGCAAATCAGGACCGGTCCTTTATAGGTGTTAGAAGTCATTTGCATTTTTATTTTAAAGTCTAAGAGTTGGTAAGTATATACTATAATAACTAGTTTTGCCCTCATTTGGGGAGGGGATGAGCAATATAAATTCCTATGCTCCCGGGAAAGTTAAATTGAGTTCTTCCTCAGGTTGGTTGGTTGCATGGGGCACATTCTTGCTCTTCCATCATGTCTATAATCCTAGACTTTAGTAGTTTAATAGATCCCTATTTAATATAGTAGAAAATATCTGCAAGGGTCAGAGAAATGAACAAGTGATGAAAATAAAAGGAATGCATTATGAATTTACATATTCCTGATGGTAGGGCAACTGGAGTTCCGTCTTATCCCAAATAGTAATCACAATTCAGTCTCGTTCATGTGTCTGCTCATTCAACAAACATTTATTGAGCCCATAGCCAGGTGTTTGCTAAGCATCGATTGAATGCAAGATGTGTGTGACAGGATCTTTGTCCTCCAAGGGCCTACATTCCAGTGGGGATGACAGTAGTTGTCATATGGAATTTCAGGTGCCATAGCCAGGTAGAGTAGGGCACAGAGGAGGGAGTGGCCAGTTCTGCCAGGGTTGGGCTGGGGGTGGTTAGAACAGGTTGCAAAGGGCTGAGGGATGTCCCTTGGAATGCCTCCAAGAGACGGGAACCTTCAGGAAACACCGTTACCCTGTTGTGTGTGTGTGTGTGAATCCTCACCCAAGGATATTTTTTCCATTGGCTTTTAGAAAGAGTGGAAGGGAGGGGAGGAGGAGAGAAACATCGATGTGAGAGAGAGACATCAACTGGGTGCCTTCC